TCAATTTTACTCATTCTTTATCTTATTTGACATGAAATTGGTAAGCCTAACGATGAAATACACTTCATTTGTTACGTAAACAAGCTTTCAGCTTTCTACAGTCCAAATTTTACATTGTAAGGTGTAAAATTTCCCATTTTAACAAGCTGTATTCACAAATATTTAATAGACGTTCAAACAACAAAGATTTAAATTCACAATTTTGTATGATATATACTGTCTAAAGTGCAAACTATCTGGTGTAATAATGTTAAAAAGATTGACTGCTGAGACTTGAGGTCTCGTTTTATTACTTCTATAAACATACACTTGATGAAACTATGTGTTATGTGTAAGGTTTGTGTTTAACATGCACCAACTTTCTGTCTACCTATAAAATACTGGTAGATTGGGGACAATTTTTGTGTCATTATACACCTGATTATATAAACTCCTTAAGCGCCAGTACTTTCCCCTCGACAAGTGTGTTTTACAGATCAATTTATATAAAGTAGGGTGCATTAAGGTACAATGCAACTTTTCAAACAGTTTATTTATAATGAAAGCATTTCTAAGCAGCATTGTATGTAGACCCTTAAGACAGGAATAAACCTGCAGCCATCAGTGATTCTGATGCAGTGTTCAAACCAATTTATACCGATCAGTTACAGTTGTCGAGCTGTAGTTGCAAATTAATTCATGTAAATATCATAAGGTGAAGCCTGTAGTAAGGTGTAAGTTAGGGTAAATGTCAGGATTTTGGACATCACACTCAACAGAACTTTAAATGTTGAAGGTAGCATCACTAGACAAATATTTTTAAGTGTGAATTTTATACATATTTAGACCTTACCAACCTAAAAATATAGTTGCATCTTTTGCAGCTGCTTTAACCATGTCTAAAATGTATAAAATTTACACTCAAAATTCTCATCTACAAAAACCCTTCAACATTTAGTGATGTATGTCAGCATTGCCATGTAAAACCCTTTTCTCACCAAACATGCACTTACTGCATGTAATAGTTGGTGGTCAACATAGGAATATTTGCACAAGAATAGACATTATCTCTCGATTCTACATTTTTCTCATACAGAATACATGGCCGGTCTGCTTCATTAAATTAATATGTAGTTTTTAGATCATAGTAATTAAACTGCATTATATTTTTTAGACCAAGAAGTGCTCTCTTAAAAGGGAGAGGTATTGTCAGTGGCAAATTTGAGGAATCTGATGCATTGGTGGAATACTGCATGTGGTCATGAAATTATACTTTGATGCTGCAATCCTCAAGGTCTGAAAATTGGATGTTTTTGTACCAACCTTTGCTAATCAGCAGGAATCAAAAGACGTGCTTAAGTAACACTACTAGTTTTGTAAAGAAAACGAAATACTAGACTGGCATATACTAGATTTGTTGAAATAGTTGAACTGAGGCAATGATAGTTATTCAGGCATTGGGGCCGGCCGGGGGGGGGGGGATGTATAAAAATGTACTTGTTTTTAAAATGTAAATTTATATTTGACTCATAATTTTCTCAGAACCAATCCAATATCCATCACTACATTAAACATATTTTCAGAGGTCAAGTAACTACCAATGATTTGAGCTCTAGGTTTGGAAATAGAAATCACAAAATGTTTATGAAAAATTTATATATTTACATAATATGTACTGTAATTTAGTATTTATGACAAAAAGTATTTAATATAGTCATTGAAAATTGTATTGAATTACATTAATAAGGGGGCATTCATTATTGATGGGGGGGGGGATGGGTGAGAAATTGGGGGGACCTGAGATTTTCCCAGATGAAAAGGGGACTGCAATTCTGGTAAACGAAATCCTGGAGGGACGTAACATTGAAGGAAGACACATCTACAAATTTCAAAAAGAGATCAGATTTACATAAACTTCATCTTTGAATTTATCAAATACATCATTTCTTAAGTTATTCAAAACACTCACAGTACATGTTTCATCAGATCTATTAAAACACTTGGGTATTGCCTTGTGTTATAAATCTGATAAAAGGTTGCTGTTGGTGCTTTGAATATATTTTAATACAATATAATAATATACAATTTTCTGCTCTCTCAGTCCCTGCTGTACAATTGTACAAACATGTACATACTACATTTAGACACAAGATGTACATTTAGATTTAATGTAGTGTGAATTAAAAAATCAAATGTGACTGTGTGTAGTACTCTTTATTGTCAATAAAAAAGAGTTGCACCATAACTATATTTGACTACAGTAATTGGTGAGTGACTAATTATTATCATAACTTCGATTTGTTCTCCATTTTGGCATCCTGTGCCATCTCTTCTGGTACCAGTATTAATAAACAGATAAATCCTGCAAAAAAAGATAAGTAAACATTATACCACAATCATGTTATAATTACACGTCTTTAGTAATTAACAAAAATATAATATGTATTACATATAATAATGTTAACCCTTTAAGTGGCAATGCACCCTAATGTACTTTAGAGGAGAGCACTGCCACTCAGTGGGTTAATCAGACAATCTTCTGCATGGTTATGCATGACTATTTTACTCGTCAAGGGGAGAGTGCTCATGGCACTCAATGGAATATAAATCAAACTATCTGCATACCCAATGTGCCCAACTTTAGTTAATCTTACTCTGTCTAACACCAGATTATTTTACTCGATCTGTCTGACAATGCCAGACAATTTTACTTGTCAAGGGGAGAGCACACTGGTGCTCCATGGGTTAAGGCAAAAAAATTTAAAGAACTAGTATGATATCCAACAACCTAAAGTGCACGGTCATATGGTGGCAACCTAAATCACCCCCCCCCCCCACAATAAGTGGCCACCACTGCCCTACAACCCCATATATAAACACTGCTACAAAAAGCCTGGCAAAAGTAGGACTTGCTTGTCCAAGCTCAGTGAGACTTGCTCAATGTGGGGGAATGCAATGCAGCCTTGTTCACAGGACATGAAGTCTGTGTACTTGCTGCTACCCTATTCAGAAAGATTGTTAAATCTAGCTCAAAAGAAAGTTTCAGTTATACCATATCTCGTCTCTCAAACACATAGGCAAGCAATCAATCATGCTTATCCAACTTTTGCACACTGCTTTGAACATTCCCAGGTCCTAGGTATTTTGTTCCCTCTGTCCGACACTCTCTGTCTTTGTGCTTATCTATATATTAATCCTGATTCACACCATATATAATCTGCACGATCGTGTGAGCAAGTGAACAACCACAATTATTATAAATTTATATTAAAAACTGGCAATAAAAAACACAAAACAACATAATTTCATGTCCACAATTTTCAACGATAATAAACATGATTTATGTGTCCGTACCCCGGTTCCAGAGGCTATTTAATCAATAATGGATTGAAATATTAATTTTGCTGTATATATATACATAGTAGCATGAGTTTTTGACTTATATAGTTATATATTTATAGTCATTTTACTCATTTCGAGAGTCATTTTATATCTAGCAAGCTTCTACAAATTAAAAATAGTTTCATGAATCTTACCTGAAAGAATAGCTATTAATCTTTCTTGATAGTGAATTGTTGCATGAACAAACGAAACAAACCGGCACTTTTCCTCCACATCGTAAAACAAGTAAAGTGCGAGGGAAAGATTTTCTTGCTCAAAAACAACCAAAAACCTCGTAGTAAAATCTAAATTCTGAAATATTTGTGTAAAAACAGGGGGGTGATGGACTTTGTTTAATGCTTCGGATCGCGGTTGGTCAGTGGCAATTACCATGGAGACTTCGGACCAGTTGCCATGGAAATGGCGTAAGCGCCGCCATGTTTTTGGCGACACTCTTTCATGCCGAGCAGGTCCTCCAGTAATATAGTATAGCTCAGTGGTGCAGGCCCTCTATTCTTCGCGCCGCCCGTAACCCAGGGCCTGTTCGCAAGGCTATGGTGCTTGATTTTCGATAACTGGGGGGAGCGGGAAATCAAAATAACAAGTCCAATATGGCGGGGAAATTTATCTTTATCTTGTATAAAAACCACATGGACGAATTCAATTGAACTAAATTTTGGCACAAGAATGAGTTTAAAAAACATAGTATGACAAAAAGAGCCTGTGGAGAATACCTGGAAACAGTTTTAAGAAATAATCTCGACGAGATGCAGCGAAACGTGACTATGTAAGTCTGTATAAATACAATTTACAAAGATTTTCTTAATAATTTCATATGTTATTTGAGTTTGAATCATTTGTCCATATAGTTTAAATTATGTGCCTTTATGAGTTTATGATCATTTCCCAAGTTTTTTTATGCCAAATTGCTTACAAAAGAATTAAAAACTCTTGACAAAATGAAGTTGAATTTTATTGAATTTCATCATGCTATGCATAAAATAAATAATCACTCGGGCAAGTCGTGCAATTAACACTGGCAATTAATTAACAGCTTGTGCAATTTTGGCGCATTTTTCAAATATTACTCGTAGTGTTAATATAATTAATTGCACACCTTCCTGTGTGATTACCTATACTTATATTGCATTGACATTTATATTACAGTGAACTATAATGCTGATGTTTCATGATTATTGTACATTAGTATAATTACATAGGTGATTATTGAAAATTCTCCACGCTGATTGGTTACCGTTGAGGTGATTATTACGCGATAATCACATAAGCGATTTTCAAAATGGCGGCCGAAGCCGTTTTGTCAATTGAAAGACGAAGAAATGTGCATTTTTAAATTTTTTTTCAAATAATCACCTATGAAATTATCCTGAAACAATTATTCACCTCAGGCTCGGTGATTATCGTGAATAAAAACATCGACTTCGTCTTGGTTTTTATTCACCGATAATCACCTCGCCTTTGGCGAATAATTGTTAATTATTTTTGGTGGCCCCCCCTACTTTTCTTTGATATTTTTGGTAGCCCCCCCTAACTGGTTGATAAATTTTTGGTGGCCCCCCCAAATATCTTCCGCCCCCCCGGCATTAATAATGACTGCTCCCTTAGCCCGTTTTACAGGCGGGCTGGTGCGGCAAAAACTCCCGGAATCAGCGCTATAAATAGTGTAGTATAAATATATGATCCTGTGAAATCATACAAGTTTCATGGCCACAACCCACCATAGTTAATAGAGGAGATGGTTTGGAAGCTCGTTAGCATTACAATAAAATCACAATAAACCTCATTATTTATGTTGTTCAGGTTTATGCAAAAATGTGGTCTTTCATCGTCACGTGCGTATTGTATTTTTCTCAAGTCAACCAATAGGAATGTTCAAAATGTCCTATTGTTAAAGTCATGGATGAGCAATTGGACAAAACCGTCGCTATTGGCTGGTTGAGCAAAAATACAATACGCACGTGACGATGAAAGACCACATTTTTGCATAAACCTGAACAAAAACATGGATAGTGAGGTTTATTGTAATGCTAATGAGTTTCCAAACCATCCCCTCTATTAACTATGAACCCACGGAGACGCTGACAAAGACCTTTTATTAAGATTGTATTCTGTCGGGAAAATGTTATATACAACATTATATTCCCAAGAACGGAACAATAATAGTCAGGTGATTGCTAGATAGTATACTTCAAAATAAGGTTTCCGTTTTTATAACGTAGAAAAAACTATCCTAACACAAAACTAACCATAACCCCAACCTAACCCTAACCCCTAACCTAATCCTATCTTATTTTAAAAATAGAATAAAATTGCAAATTGCAAATAAAACTGCAATGAGCTCAATTTTTCATACAATTTTGTTGGTCATGCGACGCTACACACTACTATGATTCATGGACTCAGTCGTAAAGTGACACAGGAAACAATGCGTTTAACCTGGCAAATAATGGATGAAACAACCGTTAATCTCTTAAACTTTAACAACTTACAAGGTTAGAGCAAATATTTCAGTTTTAAGAATGTTATCTATCGGTAAACACAAATGAATTTATAGCCCACCAGATGCCGCCATGTACATTTCATTGTAGTAAACATTCGAATTTTACATAACTTTGACATCACGTCTCATGAATATAGATCAAATACACAAGCAGATATTTACATCAGCTAACTAATCATCATTTCGACTGTTAACATCCTGAAACTTGTTGTATTTAGATGTATCGCACATAGTTTAAATGACCGTTATTTCGAGGCTACTTTCACAGTCAGAAAAAGTATGGTGAATATAAAAAATTGTCATTATTTTAGTACAAAACTCAAATCTTTCATAATGATAGTGAGTCAAGTATATATGACAACAAAAACAAATATCATATTTTCGAATCCAATGGTTAAATATTTTCGTTACGCGAAGTCGATTAAGTTGGTCAATCTGGAGCACTTCTAATTAGAATATTTACCCACTCCGACTAAAACAATTATTTCTCAAAAACAAAATCGTATTTTGACAAATAAACTATGCCACGATAATTAGGATATAATACACGACAAAACATAAAAGTATGAGCAAAATCGATTTTTAGAGTGTTGCCATAAATTTTCGAATTTGTCTGATGCTTGTTGACATTCGCTCTTAACTCATTCTCATCCGGTCGAAAAGTAGCAATTTCGAGTGGTGTTGTTTCAAACGCTTATATCTCTCAAACTATACATCGCACGGAAACAGAAATTGCATCGTTCGAAAGAGGAGGACTTCTGCTTTCCAACGATACCAATTTCAATTTCATCCGGAGCTTGGTTAACGATTTACTCGCATAAATTTGCATAAATTATGATATAAAAAAATGTTGCAATTATGCATAAATGTATTTTGCAGTTCAAATTTCAAATATGTCAAAAAAATTTATGAATATGACTGAAAGACACGGTTATGATCTACAAGTACCCGACGTTTCATGCATGTAGCATAAATAGAAATATTTTTATTGAATTTTTATATAAACTAGGTAGTGGAGTAAAATTTACATTTTGTGCTCACATGAAACAAATACCTTTATCAAAGGTCCTTTTTATTGCTGCAACATGTTATCAATACAAATTTCCAATATTTCTTACTCTCCAAAGATAGTATGGCACCAAAATAAGTCTGTGATACCCACAAAAGAACACTCAAATCATGATTAGCAAAATGTCTTTATTTCTACAATTACTACATACATTCTTAGATAATCATTACACCATTGACTTTAGTTATTAGTGGCATAACCAGCCTCAAAATTTGGTCATGCTATTCAAATTTGAAATAATCACTACTCATTTGTTTAGAAATTGATTGTTTTCACAATCTAGAACATGAAAATATTTGCAAATAGCATGACCAAGTGTTGTTGGACTGGCATCATCATAATTAGTAGTTATAAAAAAGTAATGTTTTCCAAGGCAGTAATGTTTGCTAAAGCAGTAATGTTTGCCAAAGCACATAATTGGATTATGTGGTGAAAATATTTCCTTTATATTGTACTACAAAAGACCTAAGACTGTAACCAAACTGATATCAGATCACCACGTCATACCCAAATCTGTTGCGATGAATATCTGGACTTCTTCCTGTATAAATTTCAAAGTCGCAATATAACCATTAGGATTGTCTGCAGCAACCCACAGATTTATTCCCCACATAGTAGGTCATCTAGCTTTCATGAACTGCCTAACCCCAACCTATTTCTTGATTTGACAGTGTGTTTGTCTGCAACAACAATATTCTGTGACGGCTGGTACAGTTGTTGATGCAGTTTATTGCTGTAGTCTTTAGTACAGGATCTACCATATTCACAAACGCCATAAGCGCTTTGTACCTAACCCGAGAAATTATGTCTATTGCCCACAGACCATGATATAAGGTTTTTACACTCCAATAATTTTCAATCTCACTGTCGACCTTTAGCAAACCTGCATATTATACTAAAAGGCAATCAACCTCTCATGGTTGGTGGACTGCAAGACCCTTTTTTATTAGTATATGGGGATAACTTTTGAGTTATTTGTATGTGGGCATATGTATTGGTATGGCCAGGAAACTACCTGCTGAAGCATTCCCTTAGTAAAAAAGAGTCGAATGAACTCAAGCTCACAGTTCATTGAGCTGAATGAACTCAAGCTCACATCCCGGACATGTCAGTGAGGAGCAAAATCTGGGAGAACATTCCTGGCGTCAGGATCATCATATCCGTCATGTACTATGGGGCCTAGTGGGGATGCTAGACAGGGAGCTTTCGAAACCTTAGGTCCTAATGGCTGGGCTTCCCTCTACCTCTACTCATCCCCCTAACTTCCCTCTGGGTTGGTGAGTGGGGCCCCATGACTCATCAGAACTCTACTTCCCTGAGGCTATGAAACAGGAACAGCAGATAGGAACAGGATCAATATATTCATCAGTGCGAATAAAAACTTTTATAGACATGGTGCCACTTAATAAAATTATAATAAGAGCCAAACTAGTAAGATATAAGTATGAATACTTGGCTATTATGTATGTAACAAACAACCAAACATGTGCTCAAGGCTCATTTTACTTCGCCTAGGAATCAGAGATTTTTATGCCTAAAACACCATAAATTTTCGACAACAATATAAATAAATACCATTTATATTTGTCAATTTCAGTATGAAACGATTATTTCAACACAAAAAAGCGATATGAGGACATACTTGGTTGTACTAGTGAAGCTATACTAAATACAAATAAATTTACAACGCCATGG